ACGGGCACGTCCTCCGGCACACGCAGCGTGTACTCCGCCTGGCTGAACACGGGCGCGTTGTCGTTCGCGTCCAGCACCGCCACGCGGATCCGCGCCGTGCCCGTCCGCGCCGGCTCTCCGCCGTCGCTCGCCCTCAGCACCAGCTCGTGAAACGCCGCCTCCTCCCGGTCCAGCGCCTTCGCCAGCACCAGCTCGGGACGCTGCTCCCCGCCGGGGCCCGCCTGCACGGCCAGCGAGAAGTGCTCGTCGCCGCTCAGCTCGTAGCTCTGCAGCGAATTCCGTCCCGAGTCCGGGTCGTGGGCCCTGGCCAGGGGAAACCGCGACCCCGGGGCTGTCGTCTCGCTCATTCTCAGCTCCGTTTCCGCCTCTCGGAAGCTGGGCGCGTTGTCGTTAATGTCCGTGATTTCCACTTCGATGCCGTAAACCTGCATTTCCCCCTCCACTATCACCTCACAGCGCAGCACGCATCGCTGCACACCCTCGCAGAGCTGCTCTCTGTCTATCCTCTCCGCCGTCACCAAATGTCCCGTCTTCCCGTGCAGAGCGAAATACTGCGTCCTACCTCTGTCTAGGATGTGGACGCCGCGTTCGCGGAGCGCCGGCAGCTCCAGCCCCAGGTCCTTGGCCACGTCGCCCACGAACGAGCCCTTCGGCATCTCCTCGGGAACCGAGTAGCGCAGCTGCCCCCACGCCGCCTCCCACGCCGCCACCAGGACGCACCACAGCAGGGCTCTCTTCTGCTGGCCCCAACTCCCTCCTCTCTCCGCCATTGCACAGCCCAGCAGCAGCTGCCCGCTCGCCCCTCCGCCCACAGGAGCCGACCTGCGGGTCACCGCTGCCGCTGCGCTCCTCCCGCCCGTCTTCCCCCGAGCAGTCCGGCTCGGCTCGTTCCCACCACGCTGCTTCGGTCGCAGACCTTGCAGCCCCGCGGCTCACTCGCCGTCTCGCCGCTACTCTGGCGGCCGCCTCCCGAGCCTTTCGGCCCATCATGAGCCAACAGCGACACTCACAGCCGCAGACAGCAACTGCAGCGCTCTGGCGCTGGGAAGCGGTCCTCCGCCTTTCTGGCTTCCTACTCCTGCTCAGCCAACCGCGCCTGCTGCAGCCCCGCGTTTCCCATCATTCCTGCTAACAGTGCTTACAGATTCGGGGGGCATGCATGCATTCAGAATAGTCTCTCTGACAAGTCCTGCCCACCGCATTGCTTCATAGAATGACGAAGTGATGGGATGATATAATGACAGAATGATAGAATAGTATCATAGCATCCTCGAATCCTAGAATGATTTGGGTTGGAAGGGGCCTTTAAAGATCATCTAGTCCAACCCCCCTGCAATGAGCAGGAGCATCTTCAACTAGATCAGGTTGCTCAGAGCCCCGTGCAACCTGACCCTGAATGTTTCCAGGGATGGGGCATCTACAACCTCTCTGGCCAAACTGTTCCAGTGTTTCACCACCTCCATCATAATTTTTTTTTTCCTTATATCTGGTACGAACCTACTCTCTTTTAGTTTAAAACCATTATTCCTTGTCCTATCACAACAGGCCCTGTTAAAAAGTCTGTCCCCATCTTTCTTGTAAGCCCCCCTGAAGTATTGTAAGTCTGCAATCAGGTGTCCCCGGAGCCTTCTCTTCTGCGGGCTAGACAACCTGAGCTCTCTCAGTCTTTCCTCATAGGAGAGGTGTTCCATCCATGTGATCATTTTTGTGGCCCTCCTCCAGACCTGCTCCAGCAGGTGCCTGCCTTTCTTGTACTGAGGACACCAGAGCTGGATGCAGTACTCCAGGTGGGGTCTTACCAGTGCAGAGTAGAAGGGCAGAATCACCTCCCTCGACCTGCTGGCCACGCTGCTGGTGATGCAGCCCAGGATATGGTTGGCTTTCTGGGCTGTGAGCACATATTGCTGGCTCATGTCCATTTTTTCATCCACCAGTACCCCCCAGGTCCTTCTCTGCAGGGCTGTTCTCAACCCTTTCATCCCCCAGCCTGTATTGCCATGACCCAGGTGCAGGACCTTACACTTGGCCTTGTTGAGCCTTATGAGGTTCATATGGGCCTACTTCTCAAGCTTGTCCAGGTTCCTCTGAATAGCATCCTGCCCCTCAAGCATGTCAACCGCACCACTCAGTTGCATTGCATGTCATCTGCAGCTGTGCTGAGGATGCACTTGATCCTACCGTCTATGTCACTTCCAAAGATATTAAACAGGACCAATCCCCATATGGATCTGTGAGGGACACCATTCATCACTGATCTCCATCCGGACATTGAGCCATTGACCACCACTTTCTGGATGCAGCCATCCAGCCAATTCCTCATCCAACAAGCAGTCCACCCCTTAAATCCATCTGTCTCCGATTTAGAGAGAAGGATGTTGTGGGGGACTGTGCCAAAGGCTTTGCAGAAGTCCAGATAGATAATCTTCCCTTGTCCAATGATGTAGTTGCTCCATCATAGAAGGCCACTAGATTGGTCAGGCAGGACTTGCCCTTGGTGGAGCCACGCTGGCTGTCTGGATTTACCTCCCTGTCCTCTGTGTACCTTAGCATAGCTTCTAGGAGGATCTGTTCCATCATCTTCCCAGGCACAGAGGTGAGGCTGACAGGTCACTAGTTCCCAGGGTCCTCCTTTCTACCTGCAATGTTTCCCTTTTTCCAGTCACCAGGGACTTCACCTGACTGCCATGATTTTTGAAATATCATGGAGAGTGGCTTGCCAACTACATCAGCCAATTCTCTCAGGACTCTGGGATGCATCTTGGGTCCCATAGACTGATGTATGTTCAAGTTCCTCAGGTGGTCTTGAACCTGCTCTTCTCTTACAGTGGGAGGGACTTTGCTCCCCCAGTCCCTGCCTTGAGGTCCATCCACTGAAGAGGTGTGGGAAGAGAGATTGCCAGGGAAGACTGAGGCAAAAAAGTTGTTGAGTACCTCAGCCTTCTCCTCATCTGTTGTTACTAGTTTGCCAGCCATGTTCGTTGGGGGGGTACACTTTCTTTGACCTTCCTTTTCTGGCTGACATATCTATAGAAGCTCTTATTATTATTCTTTGAGTCCCTTGCCAAGTTCAGCTCCAGTCATGTCTTGGCCTTCTGGACCCATGGCCTTCCTGACCCCATCCCTACACAACTGGGCAACATCCCTATACTCTTCCCAGGAAACCTATCCCTGCTTCCACTGCTTGTGCATTTCCTTCTTGCCCTTTAGTTTGACTGGCAGGTCTCAACTCATCCATGCCGCTCTCTTGTCTTCCTTTCCTGATCTCTTGTACATGGGGATCAAGAGCTCTTGTGCTCTATGGAAACTGTCCTTAAATACCTACCATCTGTTTTGCTCCCTTGTCCCTGAGGGCAGTTTCCCAGCGGGTCCCATTGACTAACTCCTTGAACAGATGGAAGTTTGCTTTCCTAAAATTCAGGGTCCTGACCTTATTCTTCGCCTGACCCATATCCCTCAGGACTGTGAATTCCACCAGTGCATGATCACTGCAGCCCAGGCTGCCTCCAGTCTTGACATCTCTGATTAGCTCATTTGTACTGGTGACCAACAGATCCCAGTAATGCATCCCCCCTGGCAGGGCTGTCTATTATGTGGCCTAAGAAGTTATCCTTCCTAAACAGCACCTCTGATTAGCCCCTCAGGAAAGCTCAACAGTGTGTTCAGGCCCTCCAATGCACAAAACAGCCTCCCCCCTCATAGGGTAAAAACCATACTAAACCATCCAGTTAGGAACTGCACCAGGCACCCAGACCCTCAACTTGGAATGACCCAAGAAGCAGCAGTTTTACACCAGGATGTGCTGGTTCCTTGTGATCTCAGTAAGAGAGACACGACAACTCTCTTGAAACGTCATTCACAACTCTGTTTACTACAGCTCATACTATTGGAAGAGATTAGCATAGATAATCCTATGCCCCTTTAGATGCAGAGAACACTGAGCAGAGTAGCTTCACAGAGGACTCCAGCCACACAGAACACAGTATGCAGACCCTGGTCATAGAAAAGAAAGAGTGCCCCTGTTTCAGTCATTCAAGCCATTACAGGACTTTATTACAAGAAAGCAATTCTATTCCCCATTTCTAGTGTCACAGTAAAAGAAGTTTGCATGCAGACTTCTTGCCTGCATGTAGCTTTCTCACGAGTAGCAAGTGGGAGCTGCCTGCAGGTTCCTCTGTTACAATAACCTGGCTGAGCTTCTCCTGCTGACCAGGGATTTATGCAGCACAACACAGAACAGGACAGCACAGCACAGGCCTGAGCCTTCCCAGAATGACTGGATAGTGCAACACTCAGTCCTCGATGTACATTGGTCTTCTGCTCAGCATCACTACACCAGCCTGACCTCAGGACTTACCTTTTATCAGGACCTTTGTGGAAGGGATGATTGTAGTCCTCTGTCTGCATTTCCCAAGACTGAATCCTCTCCCTGGTAGCGGTTTTTGCTCATTAAATGCCCACCTCCTCGGGATCCCTCAAATACTCCTCCAAAGGAACATGTATGCTGTCTTCCTGCTCTCCATCCCCCAAAACATTTAGATCAAAAATACCTTCTCCTCAAAACCCTTACAGTTGTTACCTGCAGCTGGAGCTGTCAGGAGACTTGGAAAGCTCACGCCCCCCACCCTGACTGCCTTGCAGAGGCCTTTGCACACCCAGGGCCCCGCTTCGGGTAGGGGCCAGGTTCCTCCTGGCCTCCACCCTCACCTAACTGCGCTCTGCCTCAGCCACAAGCTCAGTGCTCAGAAGACCTGCACTGCACAGGCCTGACAGCAATTCCCGGCTCCCCCTAACTTCCCCCAATGCACTCTAGCCCTCATCTCCAAACTGAAGCAATGTACCCGCTCAACCTTACCTCAGCCCAGGGACAACACGAGGAAAAAACCTCCTGGCCCTTTAAAAACTTCGACAGAGCTTTCCCAGAAAGAACCTCTCTGCAAAGACTACTGTCTCCACACAAGCCATTCGATTGTCTTCTTTATTTCACTTTTACACAAAAGGGTATCCGTGTTTACAGCAGTACAGGTTATAACTGCAGCACTACACAGCGAGAGGGCTTCCGAATACTCTGGTGCCGCACCGCCTTCATTCAAACTATCCGTTATTATACATGAAGTGACAGTCTATTTTCAGAGGAGTAGGCAAGAGAAGGCTCAAACACAGTGTGCAGAGTAGAAGGAGAAAGGGTAAAAAGGAGAATGCAAATGCTCTAAGATGTTCGGATAGGCATAGGGATAGGCAAGGAAGGAAAGGTGGTGGGGTGTCTCTCTCTCTATGTTAGGGAGGGGTTTGCTTGTACAGAGCTCCATGGTTGTGACGATAAGGTCGAGTGCTTGTGGGTAAGGATGAAGGGGAAGGCCAGCAAGGCAGCTATTGTGCTGGGAGTCTGTCATAGACCACCCAACCAGGTTGAAGAGGCAGATGAAACATTCTACAAGCAGCTGGCAGTAGTCTCACAATCACGTGCCCTTGTTCTCGTGGGGGACTTCAACTTTCCAGACGCCTGCTGGAAAGACAACACAGCAGAGGGCAAACAGTCTTGGAGGTTCCTGGAGTGTGTGTGGAAGAGAACTTCCTGACACAGCTGGTAGGTGAGCCTACCAGGGGAGGAGCCTCCCTAGACCTACTGTTTACAAACAGGGAAGGACTGGTGGGAGATGTGGTGGTCGGAGGCCGTCTTGGGCTTAGCGACCATGAAATGATAGAATCCTCGATTCTTGGTGAGGTAAGGAAGGGGGTCAGCAAAACCACTACCATGGACTTCCGGAGGGCAAACTTTGGCCTGTTCAGGACACTGGTTGAGAGAGGCCCTTGGGAGACTGTCCTGAAGGGCAAAGGGGTCCAGGAAGGCTGGACATTCTTCAAGAAGGAAGTCTTAAAGGCTCAGGAGCAGGCTATTCCCATGCGCCGCAAGGCGAACTGTCGGGGAAGGAGACCAGCCTGGCAGAACAGGGAGCTTTTGCTGGAACTCAGGAAATAAAGGAGAGTTTACCATCTCTGGAAGAAAGGGCAGGCAACTCAGGAAGAGTATAGGGATCTTGTTAGGTCATGCAGAGAGAAAATTAGAGAGGCAAAAGCTCGGCTAGAACTCAACCTGGCCGCTGTCGTAAGAGATAACAAAAAATGTCTTTACAAATAGGTTGGCAACAAAAAGAGAGCCAAGGAGAATATCCATCCTTCATTGGATGCAGAGGGGAACATTGCCACCAAAGATGAGGAGAAGGCTGAGGTACTTAATGCCTTCTTTGCCTCAGTCTTTAATAGTGAGACCAGTTATCCTCAGGGTATTCAGCCCCCTGAGCTGGAAGACAGGGACGGAGAGCAGCCTATATCCCCCATAATCCAGGCGGAAGCAGTTAGTGACCTGCTACGCCACCTGGACACTCTCGAGTCTATGGGACCAGATGGGATCCAGCCAAGGGTACTGAGGGAGCTGGTGGAGGAGCTTGCCAAGACACTCTCCATCATTTATCAGCAGTCCTGGTCAACAGGGGAGGTCCCAGACGACTGGAGGCTTGCCAATGTGATGCCCATTTGCAAGAAGGGTCGGAAGGAGGATCCAGGGAACTACAGGCCTTTCAGCCTGGCCTCGGTACCAGGGAAGATTACAGAGCGGTTCATCTTGAGTGTGCTCACGTGGCATGTGCAGGACGACCAGGGGATCGGGCCCAGGCAGCATGGGTTCATGAAAGGCAGGTTCCTGCTCTTGACCAACCTGATCTCCTTCTTTGACCACGTGACCCGCCTACTGGATGAGGAGAAGGCTGTGGATGCTGTCTACCTGGATTTTAGTAAGGCCTTTGACACTGTCTCTCACAGCATAC